TTTATTACTAGACATTAATGTAGTTAATACAATTTAAATAACTGGAACGACATTCATTCCTCTCCCATTCTGGTTTCGGATTTTCTTAATATCAACGGATTCATAGATCTGGTCTGACCCCGTCAGGCCAGATGGGAATTAGCAACAACAACAACAAATAAATAATTTTTCTGTAATCTTAAAATAAAAATATTTCACTTACCTTAAGAGAAATTACCTTAACCTTAATTCACTTACCTTAAAGGGACTCTTTTTTTTTCCTTTCGAATGTTAAAATTCAAATTTTAAATGAGACAAGCAATCTTGCTTTGAAAAACCAAACTCATGGACGACTACATTCCAGAAAATGGGTACAATACCGAAGTCTTAATTTGTAATCAACGATCCCTTTTACCCTTTTCAAAAAATAGAATGATATTCACTTCACCTGCTTTTTCAAACAGCTGCTTTTTCTAGCACCCACGAGTTAGTAGATGGAACAAAAATACCCAAAAACTTCTTGAAGCAGACGATTATTAAGTTAATAATTTAACGCCTCATTCTCTTTTCAAAAGTTGCCTTTTATCTTTGATGAATCCAAACTAAGTAAAAAAAAAATAAAATAAATATTGATATTATCTGAATCACCTAAGTGGTGATTATAACAGAATACGTTTATTTTATTAATGAGTTAAAAATAGTTTTTATACCATGAAATTATAAACATCTAACTAATAACATTAAATTAAGAAATTGAAGCGGCAAGATGAAACTTGATACAAAAACTTCGTTTACTTCAAAAATATAGAAATAGTAAATAACATAGGAATAAATTTTTCTATTGACATATTCTCATTTCTTTAATTTATTGATTTTATTTATTTACTTTTCTTGTCTTTTCTAAAAAATGTCATGAAATAATGATGGAATGATAATGGATACAATTTCGATTTAAATAGAAACAGGAGTTTCCGTCTAACTAAAGTTTACTAAAATTAACTACAGTTTTTTTAGAGGAACTACTAAAAACCAAGTTATCAACCACACATCATAAAATATTTGAGATTTTGTTTTTAAGTAAAAAAAAAAGATTCTATTTATTTAAAAACACATCTCAATTAATTAAACTCTATCAATGTAATTATAATTAAAATAATAATGAAAAGCAAATAATAACAATATGCTTTATTATGATTATTATGACGCATTTATTATCACACAATATTACTGGATTTAAAATTGCTTCATATTAATACATAGTACTGGTAAATGTTTAATTCTAACTAGTTTGATGGAAATGTATCACAATTAACAACTAAAAAACAGCTAAAAAACAAACCAAGCAAACTGTTTTGTTATTTAATTTTTTATTATTTGAAATGACAAAATAATTATTGCTTCTTTATCCGTTTTTACGTCTAATTTTTTAACTTAAAATACCGTTTACACTAATTAATTAGTATGTTTGACGTCCCCCTCTCGAACCATTAAGAATGAGTCTTAGAACATGAAGATCCCAATTTTAGATCAGAAGTTATTCCGGTTGATCCATTTATTTTTTGGGGCACGGTACATTCATTTGAAGTATGTGTCAATATTGCTGATAATAGCAAAATATTTTTTCTTATTAATATCGAAAGGTAATTTAGCTGGTGGTTATCCACATATATATGCTTTGATAACTTGATTGGAAGAGGAAAATAAAGTGAAATGATGTTCACTTTCGATACTAACATCAGATATAAATAATAAAAAATGTCTTCCATTTTGTCCTCTTTCGTTAATTTTAATAATAGAAAAATGCATTTTACTCAAACGAAAGTTTGCCGTTATAGCGGAAAGCTAATATATATATTTTTGTACCTTAAATGTTTTGAAGGTACCGTAATATCGGACATCTCGCAATATGAATCTCGATATATCAAACTTTCAGTGTACTTTAATTTGCGAAAGTACGAAAGGAAATTTTGGTTAAAAAAATAAATATTTGCACCATCAAAAATGTATTAAAGTTATATTAACTAGTTTTGATATATGTTGCAAAATATTTCTGAGAAAAAAAAATTACAATCTTTATTTTAATTGAGAAGTTTTTAATGCGTTTTTTAAGTTTCAAAACATATTAAATTTAGTCTGTATTAATCGTCAATCTACAAATGAAAAAAAAAAATGGAAAGGGAATAAATCTTGCAATGTATGTACATTTACAAAACAAAAATAAGTTAATTCTAAATGATTAAATGAAAATATTTTTCTTTTTCATTTCACACAAAATTCTTGCTAAATAAACAAATAGAATTTACGCTTTACCAAACATAAGTAAATAAATAATAACAAAAAAAATTAATTTATTGCATGGCTTAAGGTATTTACTTTATGTTAGGTATTAATTCATGTAGATGATTTTTGCTTTTTACACTAAAACCCGTAGATATTTTGAACCGAACTTAGAGTACAAGGGAACTTGTTGGTAAAGTTCTACGACAAATTTACTTTCATGGAGGACATCAGAATCGAAACAAGTCCTCATTTGCTTTACATCTGTAAAAGAAAAAAAAGGGAAATACTCCATGGGTAGCTCGAGGTCAAGATTATTCTCACACATGATCCCTCTACCAGTGGAGGTATTGTACATCGGAATTGTTGTCAGTGCAAACCGAGAGCAGTAAATGAATTAACATGGGAATTCGAACCAAAGTCTCATCAATAGGAAGTGAAATCACTTATCACATAAGCCATATCGGCTCTAGAATATTTATTATTTAAATTGTAAAAAAAAATGGAAAACTTAATATGCAGTATTATAAATTTCGTTACAATGTAAAAGCGCTATATGTTGATTAAAGGAGTTGCAGGGAAGTTTTGCCATTCCTCCATCTCACAATTTTGGAGGAAGCGGTGTCTACAATAATACAAAAACCAAGCAAATAAATAAATAAATTCGATGTAATAGAATAAATTTTTATTTTTGTCGGGTTTTTTTAAAAAAATTTCTCGCTTGGAAGATGGACTTTTCCGACGAGAGCAGAGATTACAATCATGATTTGTATGTCCATTTTGTTAATCCCAATTTCTTTTTATTGTATCAAAAACAAAAATGTCTTTTCATGACTAAAAAAAACTATTTATGATGGCATAGCACGTAGATTTTAACTACAGAATGATTGAGGTCCTTTTATTATAGTTGAGTTCATGAGACAACTTGGTAGGTATTACAAATCTATTTTAATATTTTAACTCATTTATGTGTAATTATAATTTAATTTATTAGTATTCCGTATGAGCACATATAAAAGACTTGTCCCTGAGAATTTTTTGAGGAAAAGTGAACAGGAAGTTGACAGTAAAGTGCAAGTAAGAAGAACACATTTTCGTCCTTAAGTTTTTAATTTATTCTCATTTACGAAAAAAAAAATCAAGTAAAAAAGCTAGATTTTTTTTAAAAAAAAGTAATTATATTTCTTCTTAAGACGGTAGCATTTTCCAGACAACATTTAAGTTCGTCCCGATAGGGGGGCAATTGCCCCTTGTCCCACTTCCAGTGCTTTTTCGAACTTATGATTAACTCACCGTTCTTCTTACTCGAACCTTGTTCCTTGACATTCGTAGTTTGATGCGAACTTGGAGATCCGAACGGAAAGAGAAGCGGAAATAAGAAGTTTTGTAAATTTTATTTGTCCTGGAGGTACCACTAGAACACTCACTTATCAGATTCTCGCTTTCATTTCCGAATTTACATCCGCAAATATTTCACATCTAGTGAAAAATTTAAAAGGCCTACGATGCTCGTTGTTGTTGTTGTTAATTTACGTCACACTAGAGCTGCACAATGGGCTATTGGCGACGGTCTGGGAAACCCGGAGGATGATTCGAAGACATGCCATCACAATTTTGAGTCCCGCAGTGGACTGATCGTTAAGACACGGTTCCCAGCAGATCACCGAAGTCAAGCATCACTGGCTGCGGTCAGTGTGCNAAACAAAATTATCCGTTTGAAAACATCGCCTATCCGAATAACATGCAGTAAGCAGCTGCAAACTTTTTAACCGGAACTAGAGTAGGTGCCGAGCTCGAGATTGTTTACATTTCTATTGAAAACACCATCCATTGTCGTCGCCCTTGTCCCACTTCCAGTGGTTTTTCGAACTTATGATTAACTCGCCGTTCTTCTTACTCGAACCTTGTTCTTGTTCCTTGACATTCGCAGTTTGATGCGAACTTGGAGATCTGAACGGAAAGAGAAGCGGGAGTAAGAAGTTTTGTAAATTTTATTTGTCTTGCAGGTACCACTAGAACACTCACTTATCAGATTCTCGCTTTCATTTCCGAATTTACACCCGCAAATATTTCACATCTAGTGAAAAATTTAAAAGGCCTACGATACTCGTTGTTGTTAATTTACGTCGCACTAGAGCTGCACAATGGGCTATTGGCGACAGTCTGGGAAACATCCCGGAGGATGATCCGAAGACATGCCATCACAATTTTGATCCTCTGCGGAGGGGATGGCACCCCCGCTTCGGTAGCCCGACGACCTGCGCGCGAAGTCAAGCACTTTACGGTAGCACAGTTTAACGAGGACCAATACCGCGCACCCTCGGTCCCTACGCAGACTGATCCAAGTGGTCACCCACCCGCACACTGACCGTAGCCAGTGATGCTTGACTTCGGTGCTCTGCTGGGAGCCGTATCTTAACGATCAGTCCACTGCGGGACTCGATACTCGTGAGATGGATGTTTCGCATGCGAACCAGAATTTCATTTAGGAGTTTTTCGCGGGTAAATTTTTTCCACTAATTCGGTGCTTATTCCCTAGTGAAAAAAAAATCGTATTTAGTGGAAATGGTTCTTACTTGCCCCTTCTCGGGTGGTGCGATTTCTTTTTCGCATAAGAATCTCATTGGTGAAGCAGTTTAACAGTGGAAAACTCACCACTCAGATTCTTACTAGAAGATCGAAAAATTAAGAGCAGTAGGAATAGCACCTAAGTTAAGATTCTTGAAGGGTAGTTGAGGTATTATTAATTATTTATTTTGCAGCTGTGGCAACCTTAGTAATTCCTGAATCCAAATCCCCATTTGTGTAGATTTGTAAAGAAAAGAATGTTTTAGGAGTGTTAGTTGGCTCTATGTTACCCGCGCATTTTTGTTTTTGGTGAGTTTTTATTTTCTTTCCTTATTTAATATTTAAGAATTACGCAATCTTATTTACTTGTAAGTAATTCATTTTTTTATTGAATATTGTTGAACTACACTTAAGCTATTATTTCAATTTGCCTTAGCGCTAATATAGCTCTTGGCTATTAAGGGTATCTTTGTTAGCCATGTGTTAGCCTAGCTGAATGTCCAATTCCATTGTTTCTTCGAATTCGTCTAGAACATAGATTCAATTACGTTATGTATTGTGCCTTCTTTCGTTGCATGTAATCTGTAACTTCAAAGTTTCTTTACGGAATTAGAAAAGGCGCGCGAGGATTAAACTGTATTTTCGATTTTGGACGAACTTTCAATATTCTGTTCTTATTTGAAAGTTGAGATTTAGCAAGAGTTTTCTAATTTTAACGAAATTTTAAGATCAAATTTATAACTTTTTTCCAAAAATTACTAGAATTTATTGCCAATTTTAATTTTGAGTAACCTGTAGCTTTCGTTTCTCGTAGTAATAAATGAAACACATGTGTGACATTAAGCTTATTATTTTGATAAATTGTGTCAATCAGGCTTTAAAAAAATCGAAAGCTTGCTGCCTGTCATCGAGTTCAACAAAAGTTTAGAGCAAATGGAGTAATATTGGCAAAAACGAATTGACCAGAGCAGAGCAATGTTATTTGTAATTAGTGAGGGAACAAAATTATTAGAATCATAAATTCAAATTGACAATCCTCTTCTCAGAAATGAATTATTTTGAATTGTTTCTAAAAAATGCTACAAGATCTAAATTGAGTTAGATTATATCAACAGAAAATGATAAAATCTAAGACTGAATATGTAGATGTTCTGAAACTTGCATATTTGCAACAAATGCAGTGCAGCCATTTTTTTTTTCAACTTTTTATTTTCTGTATTATATGAGCAATTTATATAGTATGTTGTGGCACATATTGTTGATTTAAATAAGCGTCAGGATTATGAAGGGTTTAGAGAATGCATTCCTGCTAATATACTTCAATTATTGTTGTAAATTTTAGGTTACAGACATTAGGAATTGATGCGTCCTGATGGATGCATTATTATGTAGTCCTGGAAGATAAATTAATTGCACCGGCAGAATTATATGGGCAAGAGTTAAAAGAAACTTCAAATGTGTACAAAAAATTTATACTTAAAAAAAATTGAGAATCATGAAACTTAAGGACAGATAGTTTTCAAACTCAATATTTATAATGAGATTTAATACGACCAGTACTCAGCATGAGTCACTTTCTCACTTAATGTCTCCGTCTTATAAATTAGTATTCATTATTTGTATATAAGGCTTAGTCACTTATCTCACAATTGGTGTTTCATAACAGATTTCATTTTTCCTTTCATTGAACCTTTTTTTATGGTAGGAATCAACTCAACCAAACGTGAGAGGCGTGTATAGGTTAAATATGTGGTGCTGTCATTGTAGAACAGTAACTGCCATTTTGAAATCAATGCGGCTTAAAGCAAGAGAGCCCAATCACTTTGTGGAGCTGCTAGAACGTATCATATTTTGCTTGATTTTACATATTTTTGCTTGAAATGAATTTTCTTTCCCTATCGCCTTCATAGGCAGTACCTAATAGGGCTTAATTTTGCATTATAGAAATTAAGCACTTTTAATAGTCGTTACTTTTTTCTTTTTTTTCTTTTCAAAAAAATAGTTTAAATAAATTTTTCTATTTAAAAATCTGATCTTTTTTTAAAAAAGATTTTATTACACCATGTGAATTTTTGACATTTAATTTTATATTGTGGGATGTTTTTATTTATTTTGAAGTCAGTAGTTATATAGAATTTTATGTTCTTACTATGTGGTTTTTTAAGTTGTGCTGGTTTTTATGATAAAACCCTGTGGCGGAATATCTGTGACGTTGTCGCTGAATATTAGTTATGCTGAAAGAATTTTCCATAAGAAAGTTTTTCTTTTTTTTAAAATAATTTTTGCAGAAATTTTCAAATTTTTTCCTCTTAAATTATATTTCAAAGATGCCTTTCTGCCCATCAAAAGGGATAGAAAATGTTCCTGATTTTTTGGTTGTCATTTAAGAATAAAAAAATGATTTAACAGATAAGAATTAAGTGCCTGGAACAATGTTTCTTTAACAAATACTACCAAATCAGCTCTGCATTTGGTCCTTCTCTGAAGCCCCTCATTTATGTTAGTATTTTGAGTGAAAAAGTGGATATTTTTAAATTGTTTGAAAGACATTGATAGTTAAATTGAATAGTTGAATACTTTAGTATGATTTAGTTATTTGCAATTAAGGACTTAAAATATATAATGTATATATATTGGTACCAAGAAACCAAAGAACCTGGGTTATACCAAACAAATTTTTTTAATTTTTTCCTCAACCGTACAGGGTTGTATATTAATTAAATATTAATTTAACTTTATGAATTTAGTTTTGGAAATTTTATGCTATTTCAGGTTATAGTTGAATAAATATGTCTGACGAAAATCCAGGAAGAGCTAGAGGTAGGGCAAGAGGAAGGGCTCGTGGTCAAACTCAAGATCAGTCTCGAAGGCCTGGTCAGGAACAACCACCAGCTGCAGCAGCACCTGTTGGAGCACCTCCTGTAAGTTATATAGAAAAAGTTATGTGTATTTTATAATTGTGACAATAAAAATAAATAAGTTATATGTATTAGTTAAAAATTTTGTATTTATTAGCTTTGCTAATATGGTTATTTTTGTACTAATTTTTTTTTTTTTTCAAAGTGGGATTTGTTTTTCTTTAAATCCTGCCCAAAATCACCTTAAATATATTACATGCATGTTCTGAAACGTCCTGCTTTAAATTGTTCCAGAATAAACATTTTTCAATAATTGAGTTAAATCTTTTTATCTAGGATTTTTACATAACTATTTGATTTGTGCATAATAATGGAAATATATTTGGTTGTTAAAATTTATAATTCCAAGTTGTTTAATATTGGTCTTAACTGTTGAAGGTGTTTATTTAAAGTAACAAGTATTTCTTGTTTGCTATTAACTCAATTATATTTTAAGATGTACTACGAAGATAATGAATATTCCAAAAATGTGTCAAAACAAATCTATACAACTAAAGATAAGAAAAAAGTGAACAAAAGGAAATTACCATTTTCAAAAAGGCTTTTGTGATGTGCATTGCATCATAGTTTAAATTTGCTGAGCTCTGTGTGTAGCTTTGTTTCAGATAGTTGAACTTAAGTTTTTAATTTTAAATGTCTTATTTTATCCTTAATTATTTGTGAGTTTTTTTTAAAAAAATGGTTCTATATTTGAAATTAGTTGTTGACTAAGGAGCTCACTGAATCAACGAAATATGTGTCAAAACCTTTCATTTAAGCACTGATACATTTAAAGGAAGAAAATATATTAAGGATATAATCTGATTCACTTTTCTACTATTTAGAGTGCTGTCCATCCTGGTGGAAATGGTGGTGGAAGAAAAACACACAGAGGTGTTCCACGTACTGATCCTGTACCACCTGCTCAACCAGAAGCAGTTTCTCAGGGACAGGTCCCTCAGCTGTCTCAGGCTATGTCTGGTTTAGCCTTGTTAGATTCTGGTGGAAGAGGACGAAGCAGGATGATGCGGGATGAATATGGTGATGATAATACCAGACCAGATCACGTTAAGGACAAGAGAGGTATTTTTTTTTTATCCAAAAGTGCAATATGTTAAAAAAAAAAATTTTTTTTACAAGTACTTTTAAAAGTTTGTTGCTTTCATAAATATTATTGTAGTTCAATTATTCATACTTACTAATGACAATTGCTAGTTGTTAATTCTCCCTCAAAGACTTCTGAATTTTGGAGGAATCCAGGAATCTTCCGGTCTTATAGAAAATATTCAAATATCTTAAAATTTTTCCAACATATAAGGAGATTTAAAAATTTTTGCTGATTAAGATATTTTTAAGCACGATTGCTATTTTTATTCAAGGGGAAGGGAAGCAAATATGCTGAAAATGTCTAGTAGGTAGTGTAATTTAATTGCATTGTAATTTCTATGACTTTTTTTTTCAGTTGCTACTAAGGATGAAAGCAATATGAGCAAACAAAGATATCCTATGGTAGTGGCTTTTTTTAAGACATTATCCGGTTGAAAATGAATTATGAGTTTCAATTTTACTTTTCATTCAATTCAGCCTTAGTCTTATGAATAATTTTTGGAGCAACAGATTTATTGTCTTATTAAGATATGTATATTGTGCCTACAGTAAATCAGGGTGGCCACTCACCTTGAACCCCTGGAATTATCAATGAATTTTTTTATTTTGAAAAGAAAGTCTAGATAAGTCTAGGAAATTTGTAAAAATCAGGGAATTTTCATGGTTGATTTAGGATAATGGTAAATTTAATAGGTAGGATTGTTCAAACTTTTTTTTTTAATGAAGGTCATAAAAAAAATTCTTTCAACAGCAATAAAAAAAATTTTACTACTGTTACAGACCTGCCAACATTGGATAAAAACCCTCAATTGCATATCTTGAGCCGGGAAGGTTCTGATTCAAATTCTCCATCCAGCTTGTACCAACCATAGACTTACAGGTTGGGCATTTCCAAGAACATCTTGCAGTTTCTAAGCCTTAATACAATATTGCCCTAAATGCTCAATTCTTCGAGCGGAATAGACCTCACAAAGTCTGTCGTGATGTCTCTTCAAGGTGACAATCTATGCAAAGATTAGTTTCAATACTCATTGCGTATAGGTGTCTCCTGAGGATGAAGTGTACAGTGAGAAGACCAATGATCTTCCTCAAGTTGTTCCTGTTTAGCTTTAGAAACTTTTTGACATACACTGGGATAGTCATGATTCAGCTCCTTAGCTTGTCTCGGACAGTCTGCGTCATGCCATTGCTCATTATATGGAATATACCGCTTGAATATAGATGCCCTAAAAGACGTGAGAAATTCCCAAGGCTGGTTCAGGGCCAAAATTGCTCTAGAGTCAACGAACCATAGTGCTGAGGTTAAATAGCCTCAGTGATAGACGGATTGTGTGTTCAAAGTCCCTTTGCTGTTAGACTAACCGTAAGATTCTCATGGTTTTCCTCTTCATGTAATGCAAATGCAGGTTAGTTCTGTCAAAAATTCCTCCCTGAAGGCAACATTTTTCCCAATACTTGATCCAGGAGTTCTCTTGTCTTCTTAATTAGGTTAAAATTACATGGCTACACAGTTATAAATTAGTAGCTCTAGACTCAAAAAATTAGGTCTGCTATTCAACGGTGATTATAAAATAAAGAGCGAGGCGTGTAGCTTTTTTTTTTTAAAAAAAAGTCCTTATTTTTTAATTACGTTTTTTAACAGCCCTTAAGGTGCTTTTTTTTTATTCGGGGGTTTGTAAAAAGTGCTCAATTTTCTCTTTTAAAAAAAAAAGATTAAAAGAGTTCTAAATTACAAGAAATGCGTAACTTTCACGATTTTCTCTGCAATATTTATCAAACTAGTTATTTTAACATAATCATGTAATGTTTTTGAATTTTATTGATTTTATGTTTATAAATTAAGAGCTTTAAACAATAGAAAAATTATTATTTCTGCACAGATCTTAGTTATGATTTTTTTAAGTGATTAAAAATGTTCTAAGTGCTTAAAGAGTACTTTACTTAAAAGTTGCTTATTTTTTGTTGAAAAATCTGGCTGCACCCTGAAGTGTATAAAGCCTTTCTGTAGTGTATCCTACAACAAAAATTTTATCAATATGTGATAAGTTTTCATGTAATTAAACTTGAAATAACTATTTCTTAAAATGCTGAATATTAAATATTCCCCCCTTTTTACATTCTTTTCATTTGGTAACATTCTATATATTAATTGCTAACATTGCCTGATATTGAAGTCTAAAGTTAATAAATAATTCATGAATAACAGATGTTTCAANTTTGTAAAAAGTGCTCAATTTTCTCTTTTAAAAAAAAAAGATTAAAAGAGTTCTAAATTACAAGAAATGCGTAACTTTCACGATTTTCTCTGCAATATTTATCAAACTAGTTATTATAACATAATCATGTAATGTTTTTGAATTTTATTGATTTTATGTTTATAAATTAAGAGCTTTAAACGATAGAAAAATTATTATTTGATAGAAAAATTATTATTTCTGCACAGATCTTAATTATGATTTTTTAAAGTGATTAAAAATGTTCTAAGTGCTTAAAGAGTACTTTACGTAAAAGTTGCTTATTTTTTGTTGAAAAATATGGCTGCACCCTGAAGTGTATAAAACCTTTCTGTAGTGTATCCTACAACAAAAATTTTATCAATATGTGATAAGTTATCATGTAATTAAACTTGAAATAACTATTCCCCCCTTTTTACATTCTTTTCATTTGGTAACATTCTATATATTAATTGCTGACATTGCCTGATATTGAAGTCTAAAGTTAATAGATAATTCATGAATAACAGATGTTTCAAGCATGAAAAAGATTTCATTGATAGTAGGTGTGAAGATAAGTGTTTCACATGTTTTTTTTTTTTCTTGTATTACCAGATTCAAATATTTTTTATTATGTAGTAATGATTTTATTTTAAGGTTTAATTTAAAAAATTTTCAAGTTCTAACGTGTACTATTTTATTTTGTTAAGGCACTTCTGGATTTGCAATTCCTCTTGTTGCTAATTTTTTTGAGCTTTTGCAACGACCACAGTGGTGTGTTTATCAGTATCATGTGGATTTCTCTCCTATTGTTGAAAGTCCCAGAATGAGAAGGATTTTTATGAATGAGAATCGAACCAATATTGGTGGTGCTTACCTATTTGATGGCATGTCAGACTTGAAAACAGTTAGAAAATTGCCCGACCAGGTATTAAAGAATCATTGCTTTACTTTCTCTCAATTTTTTTAAAAAATTTATTACAAGAGAACTTAATGATGGTAATGTATTTCAGACTCTCGAGTTCTTTGCAACTCGCAGATCAGATGATGAGAAGATCAGAATTACGCTGAAACTTGTGGCTGAGTTGGCTCCAAATCATCCTGAACTTGGACGATTATTCAATACTCAAATGCGAAAGTATGAACCTTATCTTATTTTGTGTCATCTGTCTCAAATCTGAGCTTAGTTCAAATTATTAATCAATGTAATAATTTATTTTTGTAGGAATTTACAACATTTGAAATATCAGTTGCTTGGTCGTTATTATTTTGATCAGAGTGCTATTTCAGAAATAGCTCAATATAAGTAAGTACCTGCATTTATTTTCCTTATAGCCTATTCAAATTTTGGAGTGTATAAACATTTTTTTTTTTTAATTAAGCATCTTTGTCTAATTATAGTGGAATACCACTTTATCTTTTTTTAAGTAAATTCAAATTTTCTGTACAATGCAGGTAAGTCTGACAGCAGAATTTACTGAGTAAATCTGCTGCACTATTCAAAATTGTTTTAAAAATTGGCTTATTAAGAAATATTTATTTATATTTACCTGAGTCAGTTTGTTATTCTAAAACATTTTTTTAAAATTTGTTCATTGAGCCTTTAACTTTTTATGCCTTTTTTGACAGCGACTATTTAAATTAAGAAATGCTAGAAAATTATCAAATTCTCTTTTGAAATAATGTTAATGTTTCACAGTAGTTTGCTTGCATGTGAAAGTCTGGCCTAAGTTACAAATAATAATTAAATTATCTATTGTTTGTAATAACTAGTTGAATTTTAGTTATACATTATTTTAAATACATAATTCTTGCTACCGCTCAACCACAGGACCATTTTCATGTCTTATGTGACCAACCTGCAGAGATTTGTACACATGAAAATCAAAAAACTAGCTGTGTTAGAACCCTGTTTCATTACTAAGCTAGCATTTAAGTTTCATGGAATCGAACCTATGACCCTAAGTTTGAATTTGCTAATTTGAGTTTAACCATTAAACAGAAAAAGTGTATATTTAAATTTAATTTGAAATATTAAATTATACTACATAAAAAAGATTATTTAAATTAAATTAAAAATTTCATTTAGTGCTACAAGTATAATTTCTGACTTAAAGAAGAGCATATATATCGCATATAAGTTTATTATAGAATAAAAAGAAAATTTTATTTTATAAACTGTACCTTGAGTTTTGTAAATATTTAGTAATCTCGTAAAATTTAAATATTTTTTTTCATATTGGCTGCATGCTGTTTATTTGCAGCACCATTGCTGTTGGAACAAGGTTTTGATATTTTTTATAGCTTTTGTGTTTCTGATGTTACTCTAGTTGGTAATTGTTTATTCTTAAGGCATACCGATTTTAAAGTGTCTTAATAATGTATTTTTTAATGTTGGTGTAAGAGTTGGCTTTTCAAACCCCTAAATGAAAGTAAGGGAATCGATTTAATTAATTTTTCCTAAATTTATTAACATATTTTTTTTTGTCAAAGAAATATTAAAGTTTCTACTATGAAATCTTGTTACTGATGATTGAATCTTATTTCCAAATTTGGAGAATTGGTGGGAATTTCCTATTCCTCTTTTAAACATGTACCTATATTCTTTTTCATTAATATCAATTAATTTATAACCTCAATCAGCAGAATTCTAAAATAAAGGTATACATATACTTGTTTTGCTAAGACACTTCATACTGGTTTAATCACTAATAATTGTCCGTTTCAGTTTGCAGATTTGGCAGGGTGTCATTACTTCTATCCGAACTTATGAGGAAAAATTGATGATGTGTGTGGATACTATTTCTAAGGTGGTTAGAAAAGAGACAGCCATGAATATCATAACACAGTGTTTTAATGAGAGCAGGGGAGGAGACTTTAAAGATGAAGTATCACGAAACTTGGTGGGCCAAATTGTAATGACAAAGTAAGTGTGTTTGAACAAAATTCATGTGTAATTTTAAATTTTATTTAATCTGTGCATTATTTAGTTTATTTAACATTTTTGATTTTTTCAAATTTTAGTTACAACAATAGAACCTACCTTATTGAAGATATAGATTGGAGCTTGAATCCTTCTAAAACATTTGAAACTAAAGAAGGACCTATATCATATGTACAATACTATAAGAAGGTGAATAATTTTTTCCTTAGGTTTTAGTCATAAATATTATTTACTTCAATTTTTTTTCACATTGTATAGAGAATATGATTGTTTAATGCAACATAAATTTGCTAATTCTTAATATAGTTGAACCTAGATCCTTAACTCTCATGTAATTTGCAGTCCTGTATGCATCCTCAGAGTTCTTAGGAATAAAAAAAAAAGGCAGAGTGCTTCCTCACAGAAAAGGGGCATTTATCAAAATCATTAATATTATGTAACAACTGAATTCGATGTACAATTTTTTATTACCCTCTCACACTATTTTATACAAAGTAATTTTCACTCATCAAAATAACGAAAAAATTTACAGCTTTTGAAAAATAAAGGCCTTAAAGATTTTTGTAAAAACTTTCTTTAAAGAAGAGTAAACTAATGGTAAAAGTAATTGATGAACAACTTGAATGTTTTTCTTTATGTTTTGAACTGAAAATTATGAAAGATTAAATATTTAAAGGTGCATTTTTAAATTTGACAAGACTCGTTAAATTTCTCTAAACTCATTAATATACCCTCCTCCCCTATTGAAAGTGAATATCTGTAAGGCTGAATACAATGCAGATTTTAACTATATAACTAGACAACATTAAAAAAAACTTACTAAAATTAAGGAATGAAATTAAAGTTAAATAATTATCATGAACTAATTTTTCTTTGGAACAAGTAGTTTAGAAAAACTCCCAAACAAATAAAAGGCAGAAGTGTTGGTGGTGTATTTTTATAGAAAGGGCATGGGATCAAGAAGGGAGCTGCCCTTTTAAGAACACTTAGGGAATTTGTTAATAATTCTTAAGGTCATTTTGAAATATGATTCCCTCTTCTATTCTACAGGAATTTGAAAACAGTATTTAGTTTATTTGTTTTGAGGAAAAAAACAGTAACTTTTGATGCCAGTAAGGTTACTGTTTTGATGAAATGCCTCAAACAAGTTTTAATACTCGTGCATCAGTCGATAATGTTGAATTTTGTGGTATTAATTGTCCATTCAAGAAAAAGTTACAATAGCTGAATGAGGTCTAAGTGATTCAGATGAAGACTGAAGTTGACTAAACCAATTGCAGCAAACATTTGTAGATTGCCTAGAAACCTTTAAAACAATGAAAAACTTTTTATATTCCCATGGACATTCAGTAAATGAACAGTAGTGTGTAACATATGTTGAAAATTTAATTGTTCTGGGAAGAAACTGAATTAAAATATCCAAATATTTTTATCCTTTTTCCTCGTAAATATTTTTGCAGGAAGTACAATTTTTTCACCTAAACTTTGTTATATATAACATAGATTTATTAAATTTCCCATATTTTCCAGTTATTTAATATTGCAAGCTGACCCACATTTGTGGTTTGACTGTATCATCATGAATGGTCCCTTGAGAAATGATCATTGTCTTGCTGTGTAAGAATTTTATTCCAGTTTTGGTTTCATACCTCAAACTCATCAGTTGCTGATTTTCATTTCTCATGCAGTTATTTGTGTACCTGACAGTAGGAAGTTTTTAAATAAGTTTTATTTTTTGTATCACTTTGGCTTTTTTAGTTCAGAAAATTTGCATTTGTGTGAAATGTTTTTTTCCATCATTGCTGCATCTCTTTAGTTATTACAAATAATTTCTTTAATAAGTTTAAAAAAATGTTTTTATTTAAAGTAAAACAATGTTTGGTTACTACTTTTGCAAATAAATATACTGAATTAATTTGTTTCATTTAACAGCAATACGAAATTGACATTAAGGACCACAAACAGCCTTTAATGCTCTGCAAGTCTAAGGAAAGAGAAATTCGACGTGGTGCCAGCATGCAAAAAAATTGTTACTTGGTTCCTGAGTTATGTTGCATGACAGGTACTTTATTAAATAGTTCAATGGAAATGCTGCTTATTTATTTAAAAGTATTTTCTCGGTTTTGTTTAACCTTTTTATTTTTGTAGGGTTGACTGATAGAATGAGATCTAATTTCACCATGATGAAAGAGCTTGCAAATACAACAAAGTTGGATCCTGGCCAGAGAGTTCGCAATTTGCAACAGTTTATGGGTAAAATTAACACGTAAGTTTTTTTTTTCTTTGAAAAAAATTGTTTAGTAACGTTGCTTTAAGATCTAGGTATTATTAATAGTATTTTCTACCTAGGCATCCAGATATTTCCAAAGAAATGAATGACTGGGGATTAAAGTTTTCAAGTGATTTGGTAAAATTTCAAGGTAGAATTATGCCAGAAGAAAAGATCTGCCAAGGTTCATATACTGTAAGTTACGTTGTTTCTTGATATTATTTGTAGAACCTTGTTCTCTCAAATGCTTGATAGGCACTGGGGATTTCGGGTTCGGTTGACCACAAAACCAATCTGAGCCCAAGGTCAAGAAAACTGAGATTTGCAGTGTAGACCGTGGCCCTCTATGGGCTGTGTTGCCCCTGAGTTAAGGTATTTTTACTCTCGGGCAAAAAAACAAAATCTGAATAAATATAACATTTGTCACAGATAATTTTTGAGCTGTTGTCTGTGATATATCATTAATCTGAAATGTTTTCAAATATTTAAAAATGAGTTAATTGCATAATTTGAATTAATGCCTTTTTGAAGCTTATTAATTTAAGAGCATAGTTCCTTACCAATGACCATGGAGCAGTCTTTGAAACAGAACAGTCTGTGTGACAGAAAGTCCCCTTATTATAAATTACTGTCACAGTACCAATTATCCCCCAAAGTGCAAAACTTACCACTGATTTTGCCAATTTTTATGCTTTAAATAATTTTTCTCTGAGTAAGGTGTGCTCTTAAGTTCTTCTGACTCAAAACCAGTTCGATTATCACCAGGGTGCTTTGTTTGACGTATCAATAATTTAAAAGCATAACACATTAATAATACATAATTTTAAAAAATCTTTTTCAGTCCATGTTTTGAAGTTAAGCACAGTAATTTTCCTTTTCAGGTCAATTTTTGCTTACTAAATTTTGTAGGACTGTGCTAATCAGGCTGTTCCTTAATTTTTATTTAGTTATTGTCATATGAGAAATATTAAAGGAACTTAGTTCATAAAAATTGCATGCCTGATTGAAGCTTACTTAGAAGCTGTAAAGTAAAATTAAAAAATAACTGTTGCTGCCAATTCTACATTTTTTGCATCAGTGTCCCATTTTTTGCTCTGGATTTTTGAATTTTGAAAATGTGTATTAATAGAAATATAAACACATGCCTGACAGAATGAAATCTTGAATTTTGTCTGTGCTTTAGTCGGGGTCAATGGGATAAAATGTAAAGTGGCCAGCATCTGAATATAAAATTTTTTTTTAATTCTAATTAAGATCATTTTGAGTTGATAGGATTAAAATACTACATTTCCTTCTGTATTTTAAAAAAGAAGTTTGGAGATAAGCTGTTATATTTGTTTTATGAAATGTGCTTTTTACTTTTAGTATGGCTATCAACAGCGAACTGGGGATTTTTCAAAAGAAATGAGAGGTAAAGCAATGCATGTTCCTTTCAACCTAGATAATTGGATTGTTATTTGTACCAGAATGGATCTTCCAAAAGCTCAAGATTTCCTTACCAATTTGTATAAAGTATGTCCACCTATGGGCATGAGAGTGAACAAACCAATATTGTAAGTAGAATTTCTTATATATATTAAAGTTTTTTTTTTTTAATATTATCTATTAAAATGGAATTAAAGCTCCGTAAACCTTAAAAAGGAAAATTTCACATAGGTCTTGAGGAAAGCATGTAGTGACTATCAGTGAAGAAACTACAGGCACAAGTTAAAGACTAATCAAATTGAAATCTTGATTGCTAAATAGTTTTTTAGCAGTTTTTTCCTAGTTTAGTTTTTTAGTAGTTAAGTCTTACAGGGCTGATTGTGCTCCGGAAAAAGCCGGATTTCCGGAATTTTCGCTAACAGTGATCCGGAAGTTTCCGGAGATCGAAGGTACAGATGTTTAAAAAAATCATGGGCCACAGAAGTTTCCGGAAATCAAATTTTCAAAGGTGGAACTTAAAACACAGTTTATTTTATTTGTTTGTAAAGGTCTGGTTTCTTAGGACAAGCGCCTTATCTGGGCGTCGGCGTGACGTCAACGTCACGCTGACGCCAACAAAATACTGGTTTGTTAGCTCAAGACCTGGTTTCTTAGAACTAGCGCCTTATCTGGGCGTCAGCGGAAAGTTGACGTAGATCTGACGCCAAAAAAATACTTTTTTGTTAGCTCAGCGTGAGCAGTCGGTCCAACGCAGACATTATCTCTCATTGCGCATGCGTTAATAACGTAAACAAATATTTATTTTGAATTTGTATTGATTTTGTTATTGTCGACCAGTGTTTTAGAGAACAAATAATGACTTTGTCCAAGAAAAAACACATTATAGCTGAGCTAAATGAAGAGTGCTATGTTTAATGAAGAAGCTATGTTTAATGTCAAAATCAAAATCTTGGCTGATTTCAATGTGCTGTTGGATGTTGTCCGCCATTGCTTCTGTGGTTAACGTCACGTTGTAATCCAACTGCAGTTGAGTTGGACGGCAATTGTAGTTCAAGATGAGCGTTCGATGACGTATACTATCAAACTCACAAATGGACCAATCAGAGGTTAACGCTGATTTCCAGCTGACGGCGTCCTGTCCTAAGAAACCAAGCCTTAAGGGAGAGCCAGAGAGATACTTTATAAGCTTCTATTATGATTAATATTCATTTTTTATCAATAAACAGTTATAATCATGAACTCAAGAAAGACATTTGTAAATTTTAATTACTTCTCCAGGTCATCATAGATATGTGTAAAATTTTAAATATATTTTAAGTAAACTAAGAAATATTGAGAAAAAGGGAAAAAAACCTTGTTCAAATTTTTTTCTAATTTTTCAATTTAAATTTTCCGGAATTTTGACTTGGGCTCACAATCACCCCTGGTCTTAATAAGATTTATAAGTGACCTAAATCATTTTTCTAAGTAATAATTTTTTGAAATAACCTTTAAAATTGTTAAAAGAAATTTAACAAGTTCACAACTGTAATTTAATCTTTTTGCTTACCAAACGGGCGATGTATTTTAAATAAAATTTTTGCATTCATTACTTTGTGCATGAAGCTGAAAGTTAGGTTCTAATTCATTTAACGAATCTCCTTAAACGTAATTCATAACAGTTATAATGTAATTCGCACCAAAAAATAATTGTATAACTGTTAATATGATCACAGATACTTTTATAGTAGTTACATTATTCTGATAATAATTAAAAATAGAAGCAATCCTCCTAGACTCTAAATTTAAAAATCAAATAAAATTAAGAACGTAATAACAGTACAGGTATCTTTTTAAATTAGGAAAACAAAAATATTTATAGGAAAACAATAACTTTATGATTTATATCAATTTTATGCCGACATCCAAACAAAAAGTGGAAAAATTGGATCCTACCCTGTGATTTTCCTGCCAATATAAATGCATAGCTGCCAACCCTTCTGGATTTTCCAGTAGACTACTGGATTTTGCTAGTTTTTCCCGGTCTACTGGTTTAATAAAAATTCTCTTGGTTTTTGTACATTTTAGAAAATTCCCTAAAATTAGTAAGTTTCCTTAAAAAATACCTATTGAAATAGGATTTTTGTGCAGATTATTGCTTGCTTGAATATTTAAATAAGTGTCACTAATGCATAAGGAAGCGAGCCTTATTTATGAAATTCAGTTAACTATCTTTATTTTTACAGAATTAAATGCCTATTACTATTCAAAATTGAGAATATGCATAATATATAACATTTCAAGATCATTTAAGGTGAAATCATAACTGGAAAAAAATTGCAGTTTTTCTACTTTAGTGATGAAAACCCCTACAGTTTTCTATGTCTAAAATATTTAATATATTTTGCAACAATTATCATGAAATTTATATTGTTTCGTAAAAATCTACTGGATTTTTTCCTATCCATGTTGGCAGCTATGTAAATGTATTGACTACAATGGTAAACTGCAACGCCATTATTAGATTTATATATATAGTAAGATATGTTTTAATATGTATCCTTGTAAAGTTACTTTTTTTCTGTGTGTCATACAGTAATTTATATTGTGTTGACTTTGTTTTCTTACATTATGTTTGGAAATCTTCATAACTTTTCGACTAGTAAATAAAGATATAGTAACCTAACTTAATTTTGAAAAATTTTTGGTAATCATTAAAATATTTATGAAAGTAACAACCCTTTAAGTAAATAAAATTATTGTTTTGTTCTATTTTTAAGATGGTAATTTATTGTTCTGTTTAAGATGGAACTTTCTGCAAATAACTAGCTTTTTAGATATATGTAAAGTATTTCTGCTTTTGTCATAGAAATATGCACACAAAAAAAGTAATAACTCAAAATTCTTAAGCAATAAGATGATATAAGAATTACCATGTGAGATAAAAAAAAATTCATCCTCATTTTCATCCTTCATTAACAATTATATTTTGTAAATTATTATTAATGGCTGATTCTACTTCAAAATTGTCTGAATGAAAAATTCATCATTCTTACCTTTTTATTTTACTTTTAATATTTTTACCGAAGGAGTTAGTAGTTTTTGTATTTAAGGAGCATAATTCAATGTTATTTATTTTAACAGAGTACCTATCGAACAAGATCGCATCAACCTCTATTTAGATGCTTTCAAACATAACTTCCAAAGAAATGTTACTTCTATGGTTTGTTTCATTGTGCCTAATAACAAAAAAGAAAGATATGATGCCCTTAAAAAGCACACGTGCCTTGAAAATGCAGGTAATTATAACACTTGATTTTAAGTATTATACATTTTTTTTAATTGTATATACTGGTTATATAGTGAGGATTGTAGTCTTCTTTGTCTCCTGTCCTCATTATAAGTTTTGACGCCTTAGATGGCCAGGATTAAATTATTCCTTGCTGGTGTTCAATTAGTAAATATTGAAATTTCCTATTTTTCGATAAAATAACTATCCAACTATTAAAATGAGACTTAAATTGCTGATTTCTTAAAATAAGCAGTTATTGTGAATGATTTAATATTTCGAAAAATAAAAGCATATTTAGCATTTAATTTTTCAACGGTAACAGTTCTCAAAAACAATTCTGATTAATTCTGTCATGAATTTGCTTATATTGTTAAAGAAAAAATCATGTAGTTAAATTTTTATGAATTTTCTTAGTTTTAAAATTAATAATAGATATATTGTGTTAGTATTTTTTATTTTACAAAGTCTTATTAATACTTATTGTCTGCATTATAATATTTATGAAATTAGTACTTAAAATTTTTTGAATGCAGACTGAAAACACTTAAAAAAAAGTTTTAATCAGTCGTCTGTAAATGTTAAAAATTTTTTATTACTATAATTATAACTATTTTTAAAAAATTATTTAAAGGAACAAATTTTAGTGGTTTAAAAACTCAATCTGATTTAATTTAAATTGAAAGAGATTTTGTTAAATGATATTTTCTTCTTTCAGATATGGACCTTGAGAATGATCCTAAACACTTCATTCCTAAATAATGGTCTTAAAATAATCTTAATTTTCATCTTATTTGTTTTCAGTTGCCAGTCAGGTTGTGGTTGCAAGAACTCTTAGCAAGAAACCTATGTTGATGTCTGTTGCCACTAAAATAGGCATTCAAATAAATGCTAAACTTGGTGGGGAACCATGGGCTGTTGAAATTCCAGTAAGTGTTTCAAAATCTTTTTCTAAGATATTTTTGACTTAAAAAAGTAAAAATATTGTAAATAAGCTATACATTATGTATAGCATGCAATTTTTTATACTACTTTAGGTATCTGTCATGTTTTAACTATTTAGTGGAATGCTAGGACAATCATAAAATTGTAAAATCCCATGGTGTTAGCCTTTACCTAATGGGTCCATGCTTTACCTTTATACCTAAAAACTTTCTTTAAAAAAATATTTTAATAAAAAAGAAAAATAAAGCTAAGTACTGTAACTCACTACCTTCATTTTCTAAACAAGTCTTGAAAGAATATTTCTTATAAAGTGAGCTTTCTTATATAATTTAAATTATTAAAGTGTCATCTGATCAAAATTGCTGTTGCAGAGATCGCCATGCTGCCCGATATATTTTAGTCGTGTTATCACTCAGGTCCACAGCATGAACTGTGCAAAGTCACGATGCATTGTGGTTGTAGAGGTGCCAAAGTTTTTTTACATCCAGTTATCTTTTTTCCAAGTCCCTTAATAATTTTAACTAATCTTAGGAAATTTAAACATCTGTTTCATTACTCTTCTCTGATCAAGTCATTAACGATGCTATGAATGAGCATAAACAGAAAGAGAACAGCAGTCCTTATATAAAAAAGCAATGTAAGTTTTCAAAAAGTGTAAAATTGATTTTAACTTTTCATAAAGTATTTAAAAATTATCAATTTCAAAAGTGTCTTATATTACAAAAATTTTGAATTATTGAAATTTATTTGTTGTGCAACAGTTTACAAAAATCAAATCAATTAATAAAAAGTGGTTCAAATCATAAAGTGGTTACTAATAACAGGTATTTTATTTACTAATTATAGATTTAGTTGTAGGGTTAAATATATTTTGTTTGCGTTGATTACATGGAAAAAATAACATGGTTATTTTCTTTTCTCTCACAAATAATTCTGTACTTGGGGATTTCATTTACGTATTAATATATATTTTATTTATGTATAAATCTTTTTGTTATCACTCAAAATATCTATTTTTCATTATTTATTCTTAATTTTTTGCTTATTTATATTTGATAATTTTGAAGCAAGAAAACTAATTGTAAGATATTGACTATGAAATATGCCAACTTTTTTACTAATATGCAATTTTTGTTTGAGGTAGATAAATTTATATTCCTTAATTCATTGGGCCTCCCTTTAAATCAGCCATCTTTTCTGCTAATATGATATAGTTTTATAAAATGGTGGGAGTAAGTTACAGTTTAACTTTATCCCCAATTATTTTCAACCTATTACAGGACTGTAACTGTCACACCCACATATATATATATATTGTGAAAAGTAGCAAAATTATGTGCCAAACTGAAATTCTTGTGTGAAGTTGCTTAATACTGATCTTTGTATTTGTTAAGTAGTTTATATCTATACACTCAGACCTCGATATTAGGTCATCCGCATATAAGGTCGCTTTTCCAAAGTCCCGGCTCACTGAATAGGAATTCTTTGTTACAGATTATCGGACATATGGTCAAGTTTTAAAAATCGTTATTGCTTATAAGATCATTTTTATCTGAGGTGAGGGAATCCCTCTTTTCTAACTAATGCCTATTTAAGTTCCTTACAAGGCAATTACCCCTCTCGAGTTCTAGGAAAATGTTGCAGCCAACGAACAAGCTACAATTTCTGAAATTGTTTCACTAGTTGTAGACAGTGAGGACAATGACAGTGATTCTGAGACCGAGCTGTAATGCAAGTGGAAGCTTTCAGTGCAAAAAATGTCTAATGAAATTTTTTTACCAACCATGAGGGAACTGAGGAGCATTTTGAGAAGTTACAAAATCTAGAAAACATTGTTCGAAAAATGAAGCAAAAAACGAGACAGGCCTGCGTAAATGATTATTTTAGATAAAGTAAGATGTAATGTATATATCTACACTTTGAGAAAATATGTAAACAGCTTTATTTTAAATTAAAAAAATTTTTAAAAATCTTACTTTCTCTAATTCTTATACTGTTAAAATGTATAGACTTAAATATTTAATTTATGGCCGATCGTTTTCGTTTATATTACCATTTTTAAAAAGTCGTGTACTATTTGCGTGCTTAGTTACGAACTGCTAATGAATCGGTTAAAAGGTCAACCTGCTTACTAGCCCTTAGGGTGACCTTATATCGAGGTCTGACTGTGTATATATATATTCTTTAGTAAGTAGCTGATTGTTTTATTTTTGTATCTAATTGACAAACATTTACAGTTCAAGATGAGGATAATGATCATTGGTTATGATACTTACCATGATTCAGCAAAGAAGGGTCGTTCTGCTGGTGCTTTTGTTGCTAGTATTAATCAAAGTTTAACTAGATGGTATTCAACTGTAACATTCCACTCCTCAGGGTTTTCTGAAGAGCTGTCAAATCATGTGAGAATGAATTTCACAAGTAAGTGCTTATAGTCTATATGCATTAGTCTTTCAAATTTTGCATGTATTTTACTATTCATAAATGGATAAGTATGCTTTGTACTAAAGCTCTCCCTTTTTTATTAATTAAAATGTGTAAAATATAGTAAAAAATGTATTTTACAAGCTTGCTACTTAGACTATTAATGATATTATAATACGTATATGTTGCTGTTCCATGAAGTGAAATCAAAATTTCTTTTGTAGAGTGTAATTTTCATGCATATTAAACTATACCTTTTTTGCATATGTTATTAAATACTTTATGATAGTTAGCTTGTGTGTATTTAACAAGCCTAACTTTTCACAGCCAATTTTAAATTTTTCTGATAATTTTCATTTGTGAACCACCACTCGGTTGGGTGTAACTAACATTTCTTGAGATCTCAAAGAATTGGTTGCGTACTCTGCATTGCAATGACAGCTGCTAGAGCGAATATCTTTTAGCATGAAAAGTGGTCCTCCTTGCTTTTCTGCATGTATGAAATAATCTTATTTTAATGTGCTTGGTCGTTTAATAAAGTTATAAATTTAACAAATTTAATTTTTGCATAATATTGAAAATTGACAGTTTGTCTACTCCTATATTGTGTATAGATAATAATTTGTTTAATTCTTTTGCAGAAGCTTTAAAACAGTACCAACAGGTCAATAAATGTCTCCCAGATTGTATTATATACTATCGTGATGGTGTTGGTGATGGTCAAATCAAGTATGTAATGGAACTGGAGGTTAAACCATTCGAGGATGTGATAAACAGCTCTATGGCTGGTAGAAAGTGAGTTTCTCATATAATTTTTAATTAAATGATTTTATGGTGTTTGATGAATAAATTTTGCTCTATGACGAATTTATTGTAATAGTGGTTCGATAAGGTTGATATTTGCCATTTCTTGATGTGCCAATGTGGGCTATGGCCTAATTGCCCACATTAGCTTAATATAAGAATTTTGTTATACTGATCAACTTTATTATATAAGGCTGTCTAAACAAAAATTGAAATTTGCTAACACTGTTATTGCACATGTGTATTTACACAGAAAAGTGTTTTACTTTTTAAATAAAAGCCAGAACTACTATTTTACTGGAAAATCTACTTAAAATTTATCCACCACAAATATTTTGATTAGGAGGATGGTTTTGGAGTTGTCATTTGTCTTGTATGAAATAGGTAATGTCTTGTAGTTTTATTTTTTTCCCCTTCTGTTTCTTTATAAACATTAATATACAAAATAGTTTTTAAAATTTCTATTCAAATTTTGGCTACTTTAAAATTAGTTATTATTTTTCGCCAAATAGTTTGATATGTAAAGCTAATTCCTAATAGCAGTTTCGTCTGAATTTAGCTCTTAAAAGCATGGAAAGTTTGAATTTTTTTTTTTACAAAAAACCTGCAAAATTCCTATAAATATAATATATACCTGGTAAAATAACCGGTTTTTGAATTTTCAATAACAGCAATCAGCAGCGTGCATAGCGTTTTTTAAAGGTGCTTATTTTCGTTTTTTAAAAGCCCTTAAAGGTGCTTTTTTCATTGGGTGTTTTTAAAAAGTGCTTAATTGTTTTTTAAAAAAATTTTGAGTTCTTAAAAGGTACTTGTTTGTTGAATATTTTGGCTATGCACCCTGAATCAGTTATTGAGATAGGGCAAAATAATTGTAGAATCTATTACAGGGTTCCCACGGTCCTTAAAAACTGCTTAATTTTTATTTTGGAAAATAAGGGCCCTTTAAAGTACTTATTTTTGGTTCAAGGTTTTTAAAAGTCCTTAATTTTTTAATTTTTCAGTTCAATTTTTTAAAACAAAAGGTCATTCTCATGTCACTTAGTATTGGACCATGCATCAAGGGTAACACATTTTAGAGGGACAAAAAATAATGTGGGGGCAAAGGGAGAAAAGCACATTCTTTCATTAATATATTGGTTCTTTCATTAAATTAATATATTCTGCTTTCAACTAGAGTGATATTCTATGAGGAGAGTGAAGCATTCTAAAAGAAAAGAATAATGTGGACTGGGGAGATACTGCACATGGAAGAGAAGGCTTTTTTTGGGAGGGGGGCAGTTTTAAAGTACCCAAGTAGAAGACCTACTCAAACCTCCAAAATTGACAGAATTCAAGAAATTCAGTTCTACTTGTAACATGTCTGCTTATAGGAATTAAGTAAAAATCTAAGAAAAGAAGAATCAGAAGAAATTTTTTTTTAACTAGAATCCATAACGAAAACTATATCCTAAAATTTTGAAGTATTCAATAAATTCGTGTAATATTTCAATGTGTAATAAGTAACTGTAAATTTATAAAAAGCATAACATTTTTAAACTTCATGATTGTGCTGAAAATTAAACAGATCTGAAAGAAACAGGGTTTGAAAAATCCCAGCCTACCTACGAGTACTAAATAAGAAAGCACGATTTGCTTCTAACAAGAAAGTTAAATATTTGGTAATTATTTGTTTTGTAGCATTGTAAAATTATTATTAGATTGTTTCACTATTATTTGTTTCACTATTATTATTTCTTAAGGATAAGCAGATTGTTACATACAAATTTAAATCTCTTCAACTGAGAGGTCCTTAGATTTTAATACTCATTTTATTCAGTTGACATTCCTACTTTACTGCTTTTAATTTTTGTTCAATTTTTAGTTTCTTTAAAATTAATTTTTAGTTTCTTTAAAATTAGTTGATGTGTTTCGCGAGAATAATTAGTAACATTATGTTAATTCCTAATAATAGGTTTAGCTGGAAATAATTTTGTTCATCATAAAAGTAAATATAACACATTTGCTGATCTAGTAGCAAAATATAAAAACTTGTTGTTTTTGCCAAATTTTTTTATTAACTCTTTTTTTTTAATATACATTAAAAAAAATTGCAAATCTTAATTTATGCATTTAATTTTATAATTAAATTTCTATGAAATCATTAAAAATAGAATACCGATTAGTTTCATTCGTTAATTTTTACATTCTGAATGACTTTAACTTTTAACAATCTGAAAACGTTTTTTAAAAAACCCGAGCTGGGTTTGCAAAGTCCTTAATTTTTTCAAAAAAAGGTCCTTAAAAGTGCTTAACTTTGCTTTGTTAAAAGAGTGGGAACCCTGTATTACAATTATTGTTGTAAAGAATTTCACATTTTAGTGAAACTGACAAGTTCCCATCCTCATTCAATAATTTTTTTCTCTCAAAATCTAGTATTTGGCATTAAGGATGGGGGGAAAAAATTCTTTTTTTGAATGGATTGAATGTAAACATTTGATATTACAGAATAACTTGATCTTTATAATACTAAAAATACCGCTTGTAATTTAAAGCTGTTATTTTTTTATAAAAATCTAATCATAGTAAGGGATGATAAATAAATAGCACAAGTAAATACCTTTAAATGATGAAAATAATAAATTTGTATTTATTTCTTAATTAAGAGACCTTTCCAATTTTCTGGTGTTCGCCTAAGTTGCCTGGGCTCACTTTGGCGAAACCTGGTGATAAATACAATTATATTGGTACTTTCTTTATAAAAAATTATTATAAGAAAGGTAAATAATTGGTACTGTTATTGTGGGTATATCTATAATTGATGATAAACAATTATACTTTTTTTTCATATTCTTAATTTTTCAAAAAGTCCTTAATTTTTGCTTTGTTAAGAGTGGAAGGAAACCCTACTATGATTCTCAGCTTTTAAAGGAAAATAAAAACTAAGTTCCATAAAAAGTTATTTTATTGAAGCTTCAGCTTTCTGAGAAAGTGATATACATTTATTTTTCTTTTCAGTACACGCTTTGCTTTCATTGTTGTGAACAAGAAGATAAACCCTCGTTTTTTCCACGCTACAAATAATGGTTACACAAACCCTCCTGCTGGTACAGTTATAGACAACACAGTAACTCGTCATGACCGGTAAGTGAATATTAATTTATTTCTAATGCTGTGGCGGTACATTGTTTTGATTGTAAAATTCATATATATTTTATTTTTCTGACTTGTGCATTAAACATCCAAAATAAGTAAATGGCGCAGTGTTTTAATGCATCATCTGAAACAGTTTTTGTATGTCTTGCGTGTTAGCTTCAGCTTTAAGATTGTCCAATTCTTTTCTTCAATATTTAAACTAACTAAGAAAATGATAGTTTAATCTGTTAGTTTATCTGTATTTTTAATATATTTAACTAAATGTAGTTCTTAATTTGAAATATGGTATTGAAAGTGTTTGAGCTGATTCAGGCTTTTGACTTGAAATTTTCATGTAAATCCCAACTAAACATGTGTGCGAAATCTAATATCGTCTTAATAGTCATTTCATAGAGAGTCTAGTCACTAGTAAGTCATTTCATAGAGAAATGTCATAAGTAGAAAAATTTCTCCATCTAAAGAAGTTTTTTTTTATTTTAAGAGTTGTCATCAAAATTGTGATTATAATTAAATTCTTAATTCCTCGCTTATCTTTAATAACCTTTTGTTTCATTATCATTATAAATCATTATCATTATTATCATTATATCATTATAAAACTTACATAAAATATGTGTAGTTTGATTTAACTTATTTAGCCCTATTCCCGTTTTGAGTAATTTGGTGACTAATAAGTCGCAATTTGTCATGGATTCATCTGAAAGATGTATATATATGTATAGATTTACTGTTTAAATTCTTTTACTTTGTTAATGGTCTCATCCAAATTTCCATAAACTCACTTTTTTGTATATTACTGTCTATAGTAATGCTTGCACCTTTTTTACTTTAATCACTTATTCATGTTGCTAAAATAGATTATTTTGTGTTTTATAAAACATTCCTTTGTGTAATTAATGCTTTTTTTTTTTAGTTATGATTTCTTCTTGGTATCACAAAGTGTAAGACAAGGGACAGTTGCACCTACTATGTACAATGTCATTAAAGATTACAGCAATTTAAAACCAGAACATATGCAGCGTCTTTCATACAAATTGACTCATATGTATTTTAACTGGCCAGTGAGTATTTTATCTATATTTGCATAGAATACATTATTAAATGATCAAATGTGAAAAACAGCTCGTTTTAGCCCACTGTTGGTCTTAAGTAATTCTCGTAACAGTGCTAAATTAGTTTTATTAGCATTAACTTGAAACTTCGACATAAGACAAACCAATTTTTCTTACTAAAAGATTCCTTCAACAGTTTTTCATGTATGTAAGCAAGAGTGGTAAAATACCAGTAAAAATAAGATTTTACAGAAAGGATTTGATAGGATTTAAATTTATTTCTAGATTTTATTAAATCAGGATAAGCGTGATTTTTCTTGAAATTTAGTTAAAACCTTAGGAAGGTGATTTCCATATAAACAATTAAAAGGAATAAAGTAAAAAAAAAAAAAAAAAGTTTCGCTATGATCTAAATTGAAAAGAATTCAATTAAATTATACTAAAACATTTACTTAACAATTTCAATTTATATTACCTTTTGGCATCTTAAATCTCCTAATTCTAATATTTTTAAAGGTGTTTTTTAAGTATCGTAGTAATACATTACCCAATTTTTTTTTCCTTTATTGAAATTTGCTTCGGTTTGATTAAAAAATAACATGCTGTGCAAGATTTTTTGTAGACTAAAGTTAGTAAATATAAATTTAATCAAGGGTTCTGCAGCTGAATTCTAAAACTTATCAGTGGTTTTGCAGATCAATAGATTTCTGCTTTTGGAGCTTAGTTGCTTTTCTTCATCGAAAATTTTTTCAGAATGCATTTCAGTAAAATTAAAGTAACTGCTTTTGTTAGTAATTTTTTCTTCCAAATTAAATGTTATTTAAGCATATTTATGCGAAGTAGTGCATTTTATTTTGAATTTAATGAATTTCAGTGATAAACTTAAGTTTTCACATAGCATTGTGATTAAATTGAACATGTTGATTTAAGTTGAAAAAGTATTTCCCTTTATTTCTTCTGTCTTAGCAAATTAAAGCTTTGTAATAGTGATAGAATAATAAATTGAAATATCAGCTGAATGTTATTTAAATTCCTCCCAAAAAATGTTGCTGGTAATGCTTACTCTTTGTTGTGTTTTGTGGTAAGTTTATTCTAATATTTTGATGTATAGTCATTTCAAGAAGTTATTATACCTTAGTTATTTTCTTTTGCAAGTTACTAATGTATTTCTTTTGATGCTGACTTATATATACATCTTTTTAATTTAGGGAACTATAAGAGTACCAGCACCTTGTCAGTATGCCCACAAACTGGCATTTTTGTCTGGCCAGCATCTCCATCAGGAACCACATCCAGATTTGTGTGATAAACTGTTTTATCTCTGAACTTTGCAATTCATCTGGATCATCATATGTCATAGCTAAAGAGATGCTATTTTTTTAATTTCTCTCATTTGTGTTCATTTTTTGTTATATACTTTTTTTTTATGAATATCGTGGAAGATTGTCCTTTCAGTGTAAAGGGTGTACTGTAAGTTTAAAAATAAATCTATTTTTACTGTTTGCTTATTTTCTTTATTGGTAACTCAAGTATTAGACATAAACATCTTAAGGATTTAAAATTTTGTGTCATCTAATGTTTTCTGCTATTGACATGACAGAATGGATTTGTAAACATATCTGAAAAATTTTTCTATGAAATTTTTAAAAAGGCATTTAAATATAAGTATGTAAAAAGAAACTTAGATACTGTGATAACAAGATATTTATTGCTAGAAGCTTTATATATTTTTTTTAGTAGATTTAAATTAGAGTTGATTAATGCAGAACTTCCACTGATGACTAATGTAAACTGATCAAGGTTTAATAATTGTCTGCTTCAAAAAGCTATTGTTAATGAAGGTATGTCATTTTGTTGGTGTTGAAAGCAGATGTCCTAACAACATAGATTAATAGGGGGTGCCAGGTCCTTGTTTAGTAGATTATATGCACTTAAGACTAGAAATATGCCTTTAAAATCAAAGTTCTAACTTATTTAAATGCTTCTACTTACCTCTTGAAATTAATTAGTCAGCAAAATATTTATTACCAGATTCTGCATAATTATAATACATAAGCATAGCAGTATGATAAATGAGAAAAGAAAATCTTAGCATTTTCCAGACAGATTTTACTAAATTGAATAATTTTTGTTATAGTACTAATTATCTAAGTGCTGATCCAAATTCTCAAGGGTAAATTGTCATCAAAGATAGTCTTATCAGCAGAAAATGAGCTCTCTACATCTACGCGCGTTATTGGGCGAGACTTTATACTCGGTGATTTCACTTTGTCAGGAAAGTCAATTTTCATCGAGGAAATCTTTTATCTTAACTGCTACCAAACCCATATTTTTGGTTTAAACGAAACACCATTTTTCTTTTCTTGGAGTCTGAAAGAGCATTGCTCAATGTTTCAACTTCAGATATGGTCTGACTTTTGGGAGTTGCCTCCTTTCTACATGAGTGAATCTTCTAGCGAATCGTTGTCTGGCCTAAGATAGTTTATTTTGTAATAAAAGAATGGGAATGGAATTCCTTAATAAGTCTTATCAATCGTACCATAGTTACTTCACATACAAATTACAATGTCCCCATCGGTTGTAATGTCTTTCCCATTCTCTGAAATCTTCATTAAAGTTGATTTAGCTGACTTAATTTTCGGCATGCAAAATTCAGCAGTCAAAGGAGTGTCTTTTTCTCCCTACCACTTGTGCTTTATCTTTTCCAGTCAGATTGACACCTTCATTTGTTCTGTCACAAAGGCGTAGGAACACCTAGCCAAGAGATTTGACCTGCCCCTTTCTGAAATTGTGAACAGAAGAATTTCTGCTTTAAAAGGGTTTGAAACCCTCCGACACCACGCCTCATCTCTCAGTCTTTCTCATGTAATTGCAACCAGCCCCAGTAAAGCTCAAACAAGTTGACCCTTTCAGGTGATAAGGAGGACAAGGCAAAATTGAGAGCGTCCTATGCTTATTCTAGCATGAAAAGAATAGTAATAGATATGATCTTAGAGTGGGGGAACCATAAAATGCTGCAAATATGCATTTGCAATGGAGAACCCTTTTTATGCAATTTGGGGGATTCTCAAAACGAGATCGTTTTGTTTCATTTTAAGTTTAATATTTACAGGGTTGCCTCAGGCGACTATTTGCAACTATGGCCACTTTTTTTGCCTGAAAAGGCTTAAAAAGCAACTATTTTCAGAAAAAGGAGACTTCTGTGCTCCCAGCTATGTTTTTTTTTTAAGCATAAATTGGGTAGACAGCTTGCGGCAGCTTCTGAATACAAAATAAATGTTGAATTGCAAATTTGAGTCATCACTTTTAAATGCGCTCAATTTGAACACGTTGCATTGTAAATCTATTTTCTTTCTCTATCTCCTTTTCAACGGTTATTACTACTACGAAATTCTACATGATTTCAGAAAATCCAATTTTTAATACGATGTGTGAATTTCAAATTTAAATCATCAATTTTCACTATATATATATTTGCTAAATCAATTATTAAACTGAAAATTTCTTAGAGAAAGTATTTTTTTTTTAAATAAAATACATTTTTTTGAATGACTTCTAGTAATTAAAAGTATTTAATTTTCTTCAAATATACTAATTTTTTTATATAAAAATTAAGTGCTAGAACACTAATGTTTATATAAAAATTATCATATCTGCCACCAACATGACTAAATTGATCATCGTATACAACAAAAGTCATTTAATAAAATTTTAGTCATATTTTTGTTCGTATTTAGGCAACTATTTTCATGCTTTAGGCTACTAAAAGCCACTATTTTGTTTCTTTTTTCTGTGGCAACCCTGTATTTATTATATGAAGAGAAGGAAACAATTCTTAAGAGCTTGCTCTTTTTTAATGCATTTCTATTAAGGTATATGAAATATTTTTATTTTCAAAAATCCTTAATTCTAAAAGTTTCTCTTTTCTAAAATTCGATTTTTTTTCTTCTCCTTTGTCATGAAATAAGCCAAGAGCGTGGTTTTCTCATTGTTCCATTCGTGGTCTTCGCAATTCATTTGTTCACAACTTATGTCGACAAACCGTCAGTTCAATTACGAAAGAAAGCTAATTATATATCAGGGGTGGCCAAGCTCCTTGATGTCGAGCCAATTTTCACCATTTGAAATTTTTCGCGATCCGCAATGAAATACGTATTTAAAAGGTATTACATTTTTTTACATAAATTATAGTTATTGAAAACATATAAGTAAAAGTACAAAATATGTGTATTGAATTTAAAAATTAAAAACACATTTATTTTACTTCTCTTGATAAATCTTTAAGATTTGGTGAATAATTGTGACAGCACTTCTCAGTAATTCTTTGAGATGCTGGTTAGTTAATAGTGATCGGTGTTTGGATTTCACGAATTTTAAAGTGGAATAAAATGATTCACATAAGTACGTTATTCCGAATATTGAAATAATTCGACAAGCAGCCGTTTTTTTTATTCAGGATACTTCGATTCTGATACAAATTTCCAAAATTCAGTAATCGCCGTCGACTTATATTTAAATCTTATTATTCTTGCATCTCTATTAAATCTAATTCTTCAGACGCTTTTTGTGTCATAATTATATTGGAAATGGAAAACTCACCTTGAATTGAGCAACGTTGCACTTAGTTTTCATATTTGTTCTCAGTAATTTAAAAGACATTTGAAACGCATAAGGAACAATAATATTTTTTAAAAATATAATAGCACAAAAATGAAAAGGGAACTCGGGTACATTTATCGAGAGCCATAAATAATCCTTCAAAAAGCTGTATGTGGCTCGCGAGCCGCAGGTTGTCCACCCCTGTTATATATGATTGATTAAATACTTGCTGGTCTGCACAGAGCTGGATTTGGTGGGGAAAATTCTTGCTCTCCTGTGTTTTCTGCCCACTAATATTAAACCGAAAAATCCCTCGAGTATTTGCTGATCATTTGGACCAATTAAAAATTGCCCAAATTTTTTATTGAAAAGCAAATGAATTTTTTTTTTTTTTTTTGCTAACTTCATCGTTGGTGAAACGCCATCGTCATCCGTCACTGGCAAGCCAATCATGCTGTTTTGGCAATAGATCAGTACTATAATTACGTATTTTCATGTAAGTCCAAAGCTTCACCTTAAAATCGCGCACTAATTGCATTGCTTAATTGCTTCAGCATTCACCGGTGAAAGTCAACAACCACCGATTTCGGTCATTCACAGTAACATGCACATCATTTACATAATAACCTCATCAGGACGTTTATTTCATACTTTGCCTAAATAGCATTTGGCATTCTATAGAATGCCTAGGCAATGTGTGAAATATAAATCATTTCATACTTTGCCGGCTAGTTTTAAGCATTAGATACAATGCCTAGGCATTCTATATAATGCCGGATTTGAAACTTTGCCAGTAACATATATATTTCCGATCCTTAGAACTTTCAACAATAGCAAAAAAAATATTTTATTAATGCACGCATCCTAATTCTGATATATATTTTTTAAGTTGCTTATTTTTTGTTGAAAAATCTGGCAACGTGCTCTGATGTTTTTCTTTCACGTATTAACATTTTCTTTTTTGAATGGCAATTTTTACGGATATATTTAGCCAACTTTTTCTGGGGTCAATAAGTTCATAGTTGTTACTTATAGTATATACTATATGTATATACATATAGTATATACTATAAGTAACAACTATGAACTTNTCTATATACATATAGTATATACATATAGTATTATACTATAGTTACTTATGGCAGTGAAAAGGCAGTTGAACTCTAAAAATAAAGACGAATCTAACCAACTAATCTCCGAAAGGAAAGTTCTGAGAAGAATGTTTAGACCAATTAAAGTAATAAATATGAGATGGGTGTCAATGCCTACGTTGGGTTGCCTACAGCAGCACATCACTTCTACAACACGGAAGTCATTTTTCAAGAAGGTAATATTCAGCCACACGCAGCAAGGATGTCACAGGAATGCCTCAGCAAATAACAACCCTTCCCTGGCCAACTGAGTATCCAGATTTGTCACGAAACAAGCATATTTGGGGAGGCAAGTTGGATGGCCTCCGGATTCAGTCTATTTGATAACGTTTTAACAGCAACTATGAAATGACTTGCCGTAGGACATACGGGACATGTATCTATCAATGCCCGACCTTATCGCTGCATTCGCGCAAGCTATGGTCCAGGAGGGTACTAAAACCTCTTTTCCTGCAATTAATGATAATTTTGCTTTGGTTTTTTTTATCATTTAATTATATCAACGTTGTTCTCGCGTATGTAAAATTTCGTTTCATTCTGACGACTCTTTCTAGGTGCAGTTATTCTTATGGCATAATGTATATGTAAAATATGCATGTTTGTTTAAAAACAGAAATGTCCAACTAACCAATCATCCATCTCCCTACATACTTGAAATTCTAAGCACAGACTTGAGTTTCCGTCTGCTAATTTCATGAAACGGTCTTCTTTATCTACCACACTTTATTTCTGAGAATAGTTCCATATATTAA